CAAATCGAAAAGTAAATTAAGTTCGGAGTTGATAAATCATCATAATTTACTTTATGTTTTAATATTGTCACATCCATATTATCTCTTCATTTCACCATATCTCAGAGTAGGGAGAAAGATAAAGTGAACTACTTAGACTTCATGAGAAAGAAACAATTAAACACAAATTTTATATATAAAAGAAAGTTCATACAACACTAATAAACAAACAAAACTTATTTGAAACTCTTTCTCAAAGCAAATCCCTTGTAGCCTTTTCTTAATGTAGGAAAGAATCTCTCACTTTTCTCCTTCTCCAACACTCTTAGAGAAGAGTTCACACTTAATCTCACCACAAAACTCTAAATTATAGGAACAATGGACTATAAATGGTTGTGGAATGAAAAATGGAAGAATGTGTGATGCGTAGGAGGTTGAATTAGGGTGATGAGATGTCAAGAAGAGTCACTTTTTTGATCAATTTTGGCCCCAAATAAAACCTAGAGTCTGTTCTCCAATAGGTGCCTCCAAAAACTCTTCAAAAATCATCCAAATTCGTCGAATCTTCTAGAAACAGGGGTTGAACCGACATTGGCGTCGTTGGCGCCAGTGTTCCACAATTTAATTCGATGCTCACTGTCAAACGGCGCCGTCGACGCTGCTTCTGGCGCTGTCAGTGCTGAACAAATTTCAACTTCTTCATTTTTTATCCAAATTTCATCCTTTTTGCTTCCTTTTTGCTTCAAGTTCTAAAATTCAACAACCTGCAAGAAAACATGAAAATACCTTCCATTAAAGTACAATATCACCAAAAATGAGTATTAACAATATAAGTACAATATCACCAAAAATGAGTATTAAATATGGGTCTAAAAATGCATATATTTTTGGTGTATCGCAAACTTGTCATTATTCACATAACAAGAAGTTGTCGAACTTAATGATAAATGCAAATTTACTTTGATTGGTATGTTCCAAATGGGTCACCCAAAAATGGAAGCTATTAGGAAAAATCTTTGAGGATTTTAAACTTGTTGGGAATTGGAAAGTGGGCTTGTTTGATGGCCACCATGTTATGATTCAATTACTAAAGGAGGAGGACTAAGACAAAATTATTTCTAAGAAGCCATTGAAGGTCAGCAAATTAAGATTCTCAAATGACCACAGAATTTGACCAGAATCAAGAGCCCCCCCCCCCCCCCCCCCCCCCCCCAGTCCCAATTTGGCTTAAAATCCCCATGCTAAAGCTTCAATACTTTAATAAAAAAGTGCTCTTTTCCATTAGAGCTCTGGTGGGGAGGCTTATGAAACTAGACATCTCCACCTTCAACCTCTCTAGACCCTCTATTGCCAGGATTTTGGTGGAATGTGATATCACCCTTCCTCCTATTGAGGAAATCTGGTTGGGCACTGTCCATAATGGGTATTGGCATCCCATTTTTATGGAACATAAACATTATTATTACAGTTTCTACAAGATGTTCGGGCATACTAATGATAAATGTTACAAAGTATATCCACACTTAAAGTATCCTAAGGCTGCACAACTATCTTCTGATCAACCCATTCTTCCAAATCCCCCACAGGGTTTAAAGAGTGAATTGGACGTCAATGCACCTAGAAAACCCCAATATGGTTGATCCAACTTTGACACATACTGAGGATACTCCTCCTCTTATTACTTAGAGAGTGAGTTCATATGGTAACCCAATCAGTCCCATGGCAGGTTTGCTCCCATAACCTGTGAGGATGTTGATCCAAAGGATTTCAATGAAGTTAATGCTTACCAATGCCAAAGGGAATGTCCTATCAATGAAGATAATACCTTATTATATACACATCCTTATACTAGATAATTAGTTGATCATATTATTGATATTGACACTGCCTTAAGAGTAACCCTTTGAACTTCTTGATGCTGCTGTCTTTCAGTTGATGAGTGATGCTCTTGAAGAGGAGAAACTTCATTCCATAGGAAGAGGAGATTTCGACTGCTCTAAATTTTTTTGATACTAGTAAAATAATTGAACTAGATATATACTCTGCTGGCTTCTACATAAAAGCTTGGAGCATCATTAAGTCCGATATTATTGAGGCTATACAAAGTTTCTTTAGGGGGATTGATCCACCTCTATACTTCCAAGCTTCCACAATTACTCTCATTCCTAAAGCCAAGAGCACACACAAATGAGAGCAATTCAGACAATTCAACCTACGAATGTGCTAACTAAAATTATTACCATGATCCTGGTCTTCAGACTCTAACCTCCTTTACCTTCCTTGATCAGTGAGAACCAGTCAACATTCATCTTGGGAAGGAATATTGTGTACAATGCTTTATTGGCCCAAGAAATGACATCAAACTTTGATAAGTGTAGAGGAGGGAATGTTATTTTTAAGTTAGATATCCAAAAATCTTATAATACTATTCACTGGGGTTTCATAGAGGAAGTTTTATTGGCTAGAGATTTTTCTTCACAGTTCTCCAACTTGATTAAAAGATGGCTTTCCAATAAATCTCATTCCATCCCGCTTAATGGTTAGACACATTATTTTTTCAGCTCTACTAGAGGTATAAAATAAGGTGTTCCCCTCTCCCCCACAATATTTATCTTAGCTTTTGATTATCTTTTCAGGTTGTTGAATCATTTAGCTCAAACCTATCCCCACACTCAGTTTAGCCACAAATCTAATATTATCATCAACCATTTAACCTATGCTGATGATATAATCTTGTCCTCCAAAGCCTCCAAACCTGCGATCAAACTTCTATAT